AACCCTACTGAAAGTCTTTGGGATGTGCTGGAGTCGACTTTACAGAGCTGTACATTGGGTGCGCCTTCCAACATGGTTGTTTAAGAAATAAAAAGCTACACACTGCATCAGTTATAGGGTTAAAAGAATTGAACATACAACATGCCAGAAACATATTAATCACTGCAATAATGATTCAGTCCTAAAATCTTAAGCATTTGCTTTTATAACTGTCAGTATCTTTGTAAACAAACATTTCCAAGTAAAATATACTTATAAATTCAAACTTTAATCTCTGCAAGCTTGAACTGATTACTAATATAGAATTTTTTTTTTTTTACTTATTCCAGTTAGAAATTACATTTTACGTTTTCTTTCCGTAGTATTTAGAATTATTTTTATGTGTAAAAGCCATCAGACAATTATCACATTAGTTGAATAAACAGCTTCACCTGAGATTGTCAGATACAGCAGGATTAATATTTCAGATAGTCAGAAATGCACCAAAGAAAAAAAAAATGTAACTTGCAATTGAATGCATGAAGTCAATCTACAGCATTTTGAGGAATCATAGTCTCTAAATCTCTCTAAACTGTGTTGCTGTATGAGCTGAGGGAAGTGTCTGAGTACATAAACACACACTCACACTTAGTCAAGACTCATTTATTTCTTACATGTAACATGTTCCCAAAAGAGGCATTTACAGTATGCATCTGACAGACACTTTTACCACTCTTAAGACTGGAATACTCTACACTATCTGAACAGATTTTAAAATGCTAGGCTCTTACACTTCCTGACTTCGTAATAGTCACAGAAGATACCTGTCCATCATACACTAAACGACTGAGGATCACACACTACCAGACTTTAAAGTTGTTCCAATCTCAGCAAACTCACGCAGAATTATGCGCCTTGTTGCTAGGAGACACATGACAAATGAAAACAATGTGTTCTAAAATCAGCTCAAAATATCAAACGTGTTTGAAATCAGTCTGTGACCATCATACACTACGTGATTTTCTATGAAATCTGTCGACTCAAATCTGCAGACTGCCTCTGACTTTCATCAACTAGTGTCAACGTCTCCAGACTGTAAATCGGAACAAAAATCTGGGCAAAGTCATGTAGTGTATTCCAGCATTTACAGTGCATACTTGATGTACATTTGATCAATGAATGTTACCTGGGGTTGCCAAGACAACATGTTTCATTCAAAAACTAAAAAGAAAAAAAAGACTCTCCTGACTGGATTTAAAAACATCATTTGAAAAGAAAGGACTCTGATTCCAACATAAACTCAGCCAGTTTAACTGTGACCATTGAAATGTAAAACACAATCACAGTAATAACTTGGAGAAGAGAGGCTCTATGAGGAATGCAAAATAAAAATTTGTACAACAAAGGCTCACTTTGTTAGATTTCACAGCAAAGACTATCCAGTGATAGTTATAACATGTCTTTTTTTTGGGGGCGGTTTTGTGATTATTTAAACAATTAAACTATAATTGAAAAAATCTTAAATCTAAACTATTTTGTCAGATCCAAGTTCTAAAAAGATTCTAATTCTGCACCCCATAATAATCTCTCACTCACTCACTCACTCACTCTTTCTGTCAGTATATAAGCAGACATTGATAGCAAATAACACAGACAAACCACACTGTGTTTTGAATTCTACAATGTGTGGAGCGATATATCAGCCAAGTCAATTAACGGCATAGTGGTAATTGAGTAAAATATATATTTTTAAATGATCATATTAAGACTGCCCATCTTTGCCTTAATATTAAAAGTCTGATTTTATGACCTTACATGGGTTTTCTTGGTAGGATATATGATAAAATTCTACCTGTGCTGTACCTGGTAACAGCTGGATGCAATGGCCAAAAATAGCATTAGTTTAGCATAGCATCATATCTAATAGCAATAAGTATTAGATAACACTTATACTAATTCTTGATTAGCTTTTTCCCCACATATGAATTAATACAAGGTCAAGTAATGATTTAAATAAATGACTTAAATGTTTCACTGCTAAACACCATTTCATAATTCACCAATGTCTGAATTTCATGTAACACATATCATGTGATCTTGACCCTCTGAAATGTTTCAAGAATCTCTCAAATGTGAAAAGCAGCATCATTTCAACTGAGCATAAACAACATCATAAACAGGAACTGTCGTGAGATCGTGAGAAAATGCAGACAGAAAACAAAAAGCATTTTTTGCAGAATAGGTCTGGATAATTAGAATACAGCTGTCCATTCAGAATGAAGAGAAATGAAAACCCTGTTCACACCCCAGTCTGGTCTGCAGATCCATCAGCACTGATCTCTTGATCGGATGCATCGGCACACGCTGCACTGCTCATCAGTATCTGCCCACTCACTGCACCATAATCATGATGATTTCTCCCCAGAGCTATGAAAGATTGTACAGTATTAAAACCGATATAATGTTTTTGTAAACAGGTTTAAATTGACATATATGTGACCTTGGAGCACAAAACCAGTCATAAGGGTCATTTTTTTAAAAATTGATATTTATACATTATCTGAAATAGAATAGGACAATACTTGGAGGAGATATGACTATTTAAAAATCTGTAATCTGAGGGTGAAAAAAAATCAAAATATTGAGAAAATCGCCTTTAAAGTTGTCCAAATGAAGTTCTTAGCAATGTATATTACTAATC